ACTCCTGATGCTGTTACAGGAACAACTCTTCAGTTTTGATCCAGACACTTTGTTTCTTCAGAATGGGACTAAATGACTCTCATCATTGGTGATTCTAATCACCCCTGGACAGTGCAGGACAATTGAACACTTTACCAGAAGCACTGCTCTAGGTCCAGGATTGGACTGAAATCTTGGTACAACTAATGAGACTGTTCTGTATTTGGAATTGTTCCTTTGTTTCAAATTTTGTGTTTTTGTAAAAAGAAAAAAGGGGAGATGGGTTCAGGTTTATTGGGTTGCTCCCATTACAGTGCTCCCATTTCTCTGTGTTTATTTGTAACTTTCTTTGTGTTCTGTTGACTTGTAAATTATTGTTTTTCTCTTCTCCCTAAGTCCTTTGCATAGTTTATTCAAAGCAGTGTTCTTTTTGTATGGACACAAGAAGACATGCTTTTGTAATGTGACTCTCCTTGATATTTCATTCCTGGGCATCTGCTTTCTCAACTTAAGCCTCAATTGCCCTCACTTCCTAGCACCCCTAAAGGCAAGGTCCCGACGAGGGACTGGATGGACCCAGGGCAAGCCGTAAGCTATGTGCTACCCTGGCATTGAGATGGGCCTGGCCAAGGTGCCATAATGCTTAACTATAAGTTAAGAGCTTGGTCATGGACAAATGCTGTCATGATCCAAAAAGTAATAACTAGATTTGGACCTTGCTAGGGCTAGGAATAATTAATCTGGCCTGAGCACTGTAGTCTGAGTTTGTGGCAAGATGTTCCCAGGAGAGCTGCCCTACAAGTCTCAATGTTATCTCTTACTGTGTCCACACAAAAATAGCTAGTAATTTTTCCTGTTTCAAATTTTGTGTTTTTTTGTAAAAAGAAAAAGGGGGAGATGTAGGATAACACTGTTCTGTCCTTCCTGCACAACCTCAGGAATAGTTGATAGTTTATTGGACTAAGGAAAAGAGAAAAACACCTTAAGAGGTATCTTGCCCTTGAGCAGTCAGGAAGGGCTTTCTTATGTTGATATGGCTACCTGACTGGGTGGAGTGTCAGCCCAGACTAGAAGGGAGCTGGAGAATCAAAGAGCTGGGCTGAAAGATGGACTACCAAGAGACTAGCAAGGAGAACTTGTGCTTGAGAGAATCTAGGCCCTCCAGAACATAAATTTCTTCTATGGGATAAATTTCCTTGTAATAAACTGCTACAAAGATCAACCAGTCTGGCCCTCATCTCTTCCTTCATCTGCCCTTGGCCAACAGCCGTCCCGATGCAGGCCACACACAGTGGCTCTAGGGCACCGAACGCGGGCGGTGAGATAGAGCCGACCAGAAAGCCCACGAACACACAACCTTCAGCGTGCGTAGTTTTTTACAGTGGAGTTCATGCCCAATTCAATCAGCTAATCAGTGACTGAATAAATAGCAGTACTCCTACATAAAAACACAAACAAACAAACAAAAAACACTGTACCTGTGAGGCGAGTCCATCAGCAGCCTGATGGCGCCTCCACACTTGCAGATACCCCCAAATTGCTGTTGTGCCTTTGACTAGACCCCAAAAACTTGGGGCAAAGTTTACCAAGAAAGTAAACGGCCAAAAGTTAGGTATGTGGGAAACACACCCACAAATCACCTCCGGTTCAGCTAGATCATTGGAGGCATGGCCTCTCTGCGTCCTGATAGAACTGCTTAATGGCCATGATCCCAGAGACTCAGAAACAAATCTCGAAACCCAGTGGCTTTTGGCTGAAATGCGTCTGGTCCCTGCTGTGCTGGGCCCACAGTTTCATGCCTTGGCCTGTTCCCACTGGTGGCCTGGTGGCCGCCATCCTCCAGAGACCACTGGACAGTCAGGCTTGGGACCTCAGTGACAAAACTTGTTGGGCCTCACAGGATGGGGGTGGAGCCAGTCCTGTCCTCCCCGTCCGTCCCCAAGAGACCCCAAGTCATTGTCCACAAATGGCCTTTCTGGCTCCTAATCAAGCTGCTTAACGACCATGATCCCAGAGACTCAGGAGCAAATCTCGGAACCCAGCAGGTTTTGGCAGAAATCCCTCCAGATTTAAGTGTTCAAATTTCGGAATTTCAAAATTGTGCGGCCAGTACTGCAGCCATGAAACATCATGTGTTATTCATAACCAGAAATAGGAAACAAATTGTCTCCTGTTGCCTTTTCAGCAGATCTGAGTGTTGAGGCAAAATCTCAAATAATAATGGTGGGTCTGGTGTCAAAATATTGAATGTGATCAAAGTAGAGAGAGAGTAATGTGGAAATCATCTGCCCCACTGGTAGGGGGTGGGTGTGGGATGGGGATATACTGGGGTTGTTGGGGGTGGAGAATGGGCACTGGTGAAGGTACGGGTGTTTCATTGTATGACCGAGACTTAGACCTAAAAGCTTTGTAACTGCTCTCACGGTGATTCAATAAATAAAATCATAAAAAGTGAAAAAAAAAGTAAGGTGGAGTTCATGCACAATTCAATCAGCTAATCATTGGCTGGATAAATAGTAGAACTCCTACATAAAAAAAAAGAAAGAGAGAGAGAGAGAGAGAGAGAAATCCAGAAAAACACAGCAAATCTGTACCCCAAGCACACTTCTTCCCAAACGACCCATTTTTCCCCACCCGAGATAAAGCTGACATGCTATGGGTCACATCCTCCTGCCACTGACCCCCAAAACCCGACCTTCTCCCACCATGGGAACTGATGGCACAAACTCCATCTTTGTGTCACGCCGTACATGAGACATTTGTCACTAGCACCTGATGACTCATTTCAGAACCTCAACAGAAGCCACAAAGATGGGGAGCACTACTCGGGGAGCACCATGCAGGGGCTTCTCAGACCTTCCCTCTACCTTTGTCCCCCGCCTGTTCTGGGGAAGATGCATAGACAAATGGCCGGGGGTTGAGAACAGAGGAACCAAGCTGGGAGGAAGCGGGTGCTTGTGTTTTGTTTTCTCTGGTGGCCTCTAACTACGGTTCCTCTTAAGAGACAAAGAAGGCCACAAATAAGCAAACACTCTGACCTCGGTTAGCACCCAACTCGGATTGAACGCCAAGATCTGCTCTAAATGAACTTTGAAAGGGCAAGCTAAATATCTTTCAGGGAAGCAAATAACCGTGGGGGTTATCTGCTCTGGTACTAAAAATGGGGGGAAAAAGTCTGTTTTGTATTTTTTGAAAATGTCAGCTTGACTCAAAGGCAGTTCTACTTCATCCCGCGGTACAAATGCTTCCTCCCAGCTAGAGCTTTGGCTCACGTCTGTCGAGCGTCTTCTGGACAGGGAAACACCAGCCCTGGGAGCTGTGGCGTGATGGGACACTTGCACACAGGAAGCACCTCAATTTGGGTCATTTTCCCCCTTTAGGACACTGAGGACCCCTTGTTCCCCTCGGGCAGCACCACACACCGTTCTATGAGGAAGTTACATAAAAATCAGTTTCTGTGTGTGTGTGCGGGAGGGGGTGGGGTCGGACACGAGTAGCAGACTCCGTCCTGTGACTGCTGGAAGATCCCTCATATTCACACGAGGAAGCCTCAGAGATGGACCTTGGTGAGGGCGCCGGGGCCCTTGGCAATCTCCACCCGGGCGGGGCGAGCCCCCCAGCGCCTTGAGCCCAATCTGACTGCTCACATGACGCACGCCAGGGTGCCCAAGTTCTGGGGTCCCTTGAGCAGACTACCTGGAGTGAGGGCCCCTGCGAGCAGCTCAGGTGAGCAGAGCCGTGGCTTCCCCCGCCGGGATGCGGGCACGGGGGCCATCGTGGCTCAGGGCGGGAGAGAAGACGAGAATGCAGCATCCACGGGGGGATGTGGGGCCCTTGGTTCCGACCTGTCTTGGGTCTGTCTGTTGGGATGGCCCCACCCCACCCACGCAAGACCAGGAGCGACCGTGGGTGTGATCGAGACAGCCCCTACCCTCAGCTGGGGTGACCAAGCCGCTTCCTCAACGCTTCTGCACTGCTGACTGGGAAAAGAAGGAGCAGAGAGGCCTCTCCAAGACCTGCAATGACTCGCATGGAAGGTGAACCCCGAGTCCTGTCACCACACAGGGCCGGGCAGGCCCCTGTCCTGTCACCACACAGGGGCAGGCAGGCCCATGTCCTGTCACCACACAGGGGCAGGCAGGCCCATGTCTTGTCACCACACAAGGCCATGCAAGCACCTCCCTGCTCAATGACTGGGGTGGGGAGAGACCATCGGGGGAGCCCAGGAAAGTTCTGGATTCCACAGGGCGAAGCCCAGAGACATGGGCAAATCCACAGGGAGCTAGGTGACAGCAGCCCAGAACCTAAGCGAGGCCCGGGTTCTTTCTCTTAAGGTGCTGCTGAGACCAACATGCTGAGGGGAAAAGGTGCCCGGCAATCTGGTGATGCACCTGCGTTCTAGAAAGGTCCTGTCTTGAGACCAGCAGCAACAGTACCACAAATCAACTCACATGCCCACGAAAGCAGGGAAACGCGGTCGCATCTCAAACATACCTGCACAAGCTTCCAATGGTAGAGGGTGCAGAGGGCGCAGACAGGCACCGGGATCATTGGGGCAATGCACAGGTTCCGGCTGACTCCCTGGCTTGGCACTGGGGGTGACACCTGGCAGGGATTGGGGGCCCGTATAGGGTGCTTGGGAATGAACCCGGGTCTGCCAGGGGCAAGGCAAGTGCCCTACCCACCTTACTATCTCTCTGGCCCTGGTACGCTGTTTTTAGAAGACATTATCAAGCTGATGTGTTTCCCCCTTGCATCTTCCCGTTCATTCGGGTACTTATTTTCCCTTTCCCTCCCTTTCTCGCTGAGGCTGAGGGTCGCACACTCTAGGTGGTGGTTACCCACGTGGGGGGGGGGTCTCACTCGGCCTGCCAGAACTCCAGCCATGCCCAATTTTCCCTATTTCCAGCGGCTGGGAGGAAGAAGGGAGGGACAGGGAGTGCAGACGATGACTGGCAAAGGACCTGACACAAGGAGAGGGCCTGGCACCACCTTTCCCCGGGCGCGCACAGCCCGCCTGCCGCCTGGCCCCAGGCCCCAGTCAGCTCAAAGGCGGCCAAGATGACCTTGGCCTTCTTGCTGAGCACGGCGCCCACGGCGTTGAAGTTGCAGTCTCGGATCTCGCCGTAGAGCTCCTCGGCTGAGTCCAGCGGCAGCTTCTTGGCCCCTGTGGGCAGGTCCTGTCCATCACCCTGCCTCTTCGGGACGAATTTCTCGGGTGGCAGTTTTACATGACCTGCACGGGAGGGGACACCCCAAGTGAGACTCCAGAGACTTCCTGTCAGGGGAGAGCACTGGGCTTTGAGTCACTAGATGCACAGGAGCGTAGGACACTCACGCTTTTCACGCACGGCTTCCCTGGCCTGGTCTGTGGGACGCCTCCTGCCACTGCCAGCCCGAACCGACCTCAGGATGGGGCCACCCGAGGAAACATGCCCCAGGGCGGCCCACTGTCTGTCCTGCTGGCGCGTGCAAGTGCATGCCGTCTATACCGCCATTTCAACAAGCCAAGAGGAGCCCAGGATGGGGCAGGAGTGATAGCACAGCAGGGAGGGTGTTTGCCTTGCACAGGGCAGACCCAGGTTCGATTCCCAGCATCCCATATGCCCTCCTGAGCACCGCCAGGAGTAACTCCTGAGTGCAGCGCCAGGAGTAACCCCTGTGCATTGCCAAGTGTGATCCCTGTCACTGTCCTCCCATTGTTCATCGATTTTGCTCAAGCGGGCCCAGTAACGTCTCCATTTTGAGACTTGTTACTTTGTTTGCCATATAGAACACGTCATGGGTAGCTTGCCAGGCTTTGCCATGCAGGGAAGATACTCTCCGAAAAAGAAAAAGAAAAAGAAAAAGAAAAAAAAAAAAAACAAGATCCCAGGAATCATCTCAGCATGGAAGTGTGCTTGAGGGCGGGAGACAGCTCCGATGGCTTCTTTCCTTTCTGTTTCCTTTCTCTGCTTTTTGGGCCAAACCTGTCAGTGCTCAAGGCTTATTCCTGGATCTGTGCTCTGGGCTAATTCTTGGCAGTGACTGGGGGAACCATATGCGGTCCTGGGGACCAAACTCACCCTAACTGCTGCACTGCCTCTAGCTCCAAGTTGGTTCCTTTCAAAAAAATATCTCCTCCCCTTTCAACACAAATCCCGACGTGTCTACACACAATCAGCTCCACTGCTGTGGGTCCAGAGAGACGGGTCATCGGGGGCAGCGCACGCTCAAGTCCAGCTGTCTGTTCCTCTGAGCACTGCCCCGTGTGAGACCTGAGCACTGTGGGGTGGGTGCTGAGAATCATAAAGCAACAAGAAGAAATCCTGCATCTGAAAATGTGGGAGAGAAAGTGACCGACGGAAGAAAAATACTTCTCGGATGCTTTCCAAATCCTAAGCCCCTCAGAACAGCCCGGGCACCAGCGTCTGGAGACAGCACACCATGGTAGCCGCGGGACCCGGGGCCTGAGCACATGCTGAGATACACGAGGTCGGCAAGACCTCGCATTCCAGCTCAAAGCAGAGGGGCAGCTGCTGGCCCAGGCAGCCTGCACGCAGCTCCTGCACGGGCCTGCCATCGCCCTCGGTCCAGCCACAGGCGCAGAGCTGGGGGGTTATGGAGAAGCCCAATTTCCCCTTGTTTTTCAGATTTCTCTTAATGGTTTCTTTTGGGGGGGGGGTCACACCCAACAATGTACAGGAGTTACTCCTGGCTCTGCACTCAGGAATTACTTCTGGCGGTGCTCAGGGCACCATATGTGATGCTGGGAATCGAACCCGGGCTGAGCCGTGTGCAAGGCAAGCGCCCTACCCGCTGTACTATCACTTCAGCTCTCTCCCTTAATTAAATGTTTGATCAGAAGTAAGTGTGTGATGTGAAGAGACTGTGAGATCCCGGAACTCCTTCCCCCCGGAGGCACCCCACGAGCCCCATCTCTCACACCTCTGCACCTCCAACCCCAGCACCTCTGCCAGATCCATCGAGGGACTTGCAGAATCACCAGGAGGTGGGGACCCCTCGCACGGGGTGCTCCCGTGCCAGTGAGAGCTCGGAGCAGGAGTCTGGGGAGGGGCTGTGTGTGTGGCATCACCCCCAGCCGCTGCCAGGCACAGCCCCGGTGGCCCCAGGGCCACAGACTGGCCCCACAGAGCAGAAAATCACCAAGATCAGCCCCACGGCCCCTGGGGCACTGCTTACGTCTGTCCCCACAAAAGGAAGCAACTTAAGAAGTTATCCTTTGGAACAACTGGTAAAAAATAAACCGAAACACCCCCATAATCATTAAAGAGCAGGAAAACGCTTTGTTGTGTGGAAATGCCTCCATGTGTGGTCCTGTTCTGCTTCCGTGGCCGCTGTCACTGAGCCACGCATTCACCACTGCAGTGACATACACACACACACACACACACACGAACACACACACACACACACACACACGCCATCGCAATCCACTCTGCGATAACCAGCTTGGCACACTGGATAGACAGCACTGTCTGGACTCGGCCAGAACTCAGCAGCTGCAAGGCTCTGTGTCCCCAGAGAGACCCCATGCAGTTAGCTGCATCCCCGTCCTTCCAGACCGGGGCTCTATCCCCAGGGCTGTTTCCCCAGCCCCCGGCCAGGGCCACTCCTGAAGGCGCTGGAGTTACCCCTCTTGCGGCCTAGGGCTCCCTGTTCTGAAGAAAAGACACGAATCAGACTGTGGGAAACTTCTCAGACTGTATCCCAGCAGGAGATACTCCCGGCTCAGTGCTCACTGGACGAGGCAGGAGCGCGGATGGCAACGAGCGCTGGCTGTGTGCCTGGCACTAGCCCCGTGAGCTTTCCTAGCCCCCACTCAGATCTGAAATGCTACAGAATCTAACACCCGGGGCCAAAGCCCCCTGACCTCAGACCCAGGCACCCCTCAGAAACGCTCTATTCTTTACGCCTCCCTGGGCGGCCCGAGCAGCGGGGCTTCACACCGCATGGCCCTCTGTACAAGGCCCTTTGCCTCGGTTTCCCCTATGGTGTCCTGGCTCGAGCTTGCTTTAACCTTGGGCTGAAAGTCAGCGCCTGACATTTTCAAGTATTCTGACTTATACACAAATGCCACACCTTTAAAAACAGACACTTTTGAGATTGATTTTACTCAGCTAACCTATTAGTAAATGATGTCGCTTCACTTACTGTTCTGGAAGCCATAAATTTCATCGACGAGTCCTTCGTATGTCAGCTGAGTCGCAAGGGGCGTTAATGAATCCACATTTCAATCAAGCAACAAGAGGTTATCAAAAACAGGAAATATTGAATTCTGACTTTCTGTAAACTCTCTCTTCATCCTCATCATCATATTGGCCACTTGCTGGGAACAAAGTACAGAGTCAGGGAGAGCCTTTTTAGCAATGGGCGGATTTTAAAATGAAGCTAAAAAGACCCCGGCAATCCAAAATTTAAAAATAAGGCGGAAAAAAATGGAACAATAAAATAAAACAAGATAGGCCCGAGACAGTATGGTGGGTAGGATGCTTGCCTTGCAGGTGGCTGACACAGGTTCAATTCCTGGCACCACGTACGATCCCTCAAACCCTGCCAGGAGTGAGCCCCGAGCACTGCAGGGTATGGAGAGGGCGGGAGGAGGGAGAGGGCGAGAGAGGGAGGGAGACTAGGGATGGAAAAGAAAAGATAAAGAACAGAAAAGAGAAAAGGAAAGAGGGCTGGGAGGCAGCAGAGGGGTCAGGGATCAAGCCTTGAACGCAGACAGCCTTGGTTTGGTGGCCCCAGCACAGAGCCAAGAGCACTGTGAGGTGGAGCCCCAAACCCCACCCGCAGGAGAGAGGCCTCCCTCCCTGCCCCGACTCACCCTGGCGCACTTGCCACTGCAGAAGATCTACAGGATGGTCCCGCACAGGCCTGCAGCGTCATCAGGCCTTTGGCCGCGTGGAACAGGCTCGTCTGGTCGCTGTCCTAGTAGCACTCCTGTGGGAGAGGGCCAGGCGCGTGGGCACAGGCTCTGTGAGTCAGCACCGAGGCCCCAAGGCAGCACCTCTACTGGGGGAGAGCATTGCTGGGCGGGCGAGGAAAGGCTGGCCTCCGCCTGCCCGCGTGACCACACAGCACAACACGCTGGGCTTGCAGAAGGGCAGGCAGCCTCTCCCACATACAGTAGCGAGTGTCACAGGGGACAGCAGGAGGGCAGCCACTGTCTCGGAGAAGGGCCACAAGGTCCATTTAACACAGACAAAAAGAAACATCTTTGGCCCAGAAAGAGCAAAGAGCACGCACGCGCCCCCCAGGCGGATGGTTCAGCAGTGCTGACAGAGCACACACGGTCCCCAGCGGGGCCTCAAGATCGCTCCTGTGCCTCAATCCCTTCATCCAGCAAGTGGGGAGAGCAGAGGAGAAAAATCACGCAACACGCTTCACCTGCACTCCACCTGATGGGGTGGCACTGCTGGTGCCCATCGCAGGACTCTCTTTATATTTTTTTTCTTTTTGGGACACACCTGGCAATGCACTGGGGTTACTCCTGGCTCATGCACTCAGGAACTACTCCTAGTGGTGCTCGGGGGACCATATGGAATGCTGGGAATCGAACCAGCGTCGGCCGCATGCAAGGCAAACGCCCTACCTGCTGTGCTACTGCTCCAGCCCCTCATTGTGGAATCTTCGACCCTGTCTAAGGCAGCGGCCAACAGGCGTGCACCCCAGAGGCATGAGGACGAGGGGTGCAGACTGAGGGCAGGGTAGAGAGGGAGACCTCCCAGAGAGCCTGGCCCAGATTGAGCATAACATCCCCAAAGATCCCGTAGGATGTCTCTGCCAAGTCTGGGGTGCTGCCTCACACTTCAGTCCAAAATATCCTGGTCGGGATGTCCAAAGAGTCCTCAGAAAAGGACCAGAAACTCCGCATTGGAGCAGAGCAGAGAGGAAGATTCAGTGGAAGGAAAGCATTAGGGGGGCCTCTTTCAAACTGCTCAGGGGCACAGGTGACTGTTCAGAGCGGGAACTGTGTCTGCCTGCGGACAGCTAAGCCGGCTCCTGCCTGGCCCTGCCCAGCCCCGAGCACCCAAACAAAACATTCATTTTGAAAAACGGCGTATTACTACAGAGACACCTCTAACAACTCCCACCCGGCGAGGCTCAGGGGATACCCCTGGCTCTGCACTCAGGAATTATTCTGGTGGTGCTTCGGGGACCATATGGGATGCCGGGGATTGAACCTGGGTCAGCTGCGTGCAAGGCAAATGCCCTCCGAATGTATATAGCTCC